TATACCCTGCGCGCTCCAACTGCACTCTGTTTTTACCTTCCCGGCAAACCCCACACTCCACCCACCCGGACCAGGCCCTGGTCCTCGCCCCGGCCTGCAGGCATCCCCTATGCTGTTGAAAAGGGAACATTTACGGATGGAAGGGCTTGGGTAAATGGGCCCGTTTCCTCATCGCAGGGTGCTGGCAGTTGGGCTGGGTCCGAGAGAGCAGTGCCCTGAGTCTCTTCTTCAGGGGAGAGGCTCCAGGTTCAGGCAGCGATGGTCTCCTGGGACGAATTCTAGACACCTAACTACTGCTGGGAGGAACAACTGGCCCCAGCGATGTGCAGCGGAACCGGTGTGTTCGGGTTGCTTTGGCCTTGGACCTTGGGGCCCCATGGTTCCTGGCCAGAGGCCCACATCACTGCCCCAGGAGAGACTTGTGCCCCTTGCATGTGCAGTCCATTCCCCCGTTCTGGCCTCCGGCAGTCCTGCCCCTACACAGCCTCGGAGCCAGAGCCCTGTCCCGGACACCTGGCCACAGGCCCTGAGCGGAGGCCGTGCTGCACTGTGACTCTTGAGTAGGAGGGAAGGCATTGAGGAGGATTGGGGTTTGCTTAATAGGTGGCATGAGCCACACTCCTTACGGAGGAGTCTCGGACAAGGGGCCTCCAACACTGGGGCACCCAGGTGTATAAAGAAAAATAAATTAATTTAAAATAAGGCTATAAAGTTTCAATTATGCAAGATGAAAAAGTTCTAGAGACCTGCTGTACAACATTGTGTTTATAGTTAACAGTGTAGTTAAATTTTACAGTTAAAATTTTGTGAAGAGGGTAGATCTCATGTTGGTTTTTTATCACAAAAAAAAGGCTATAAAATATGTACAATTGCATGTAAAGGATGTTTTTTAAAAATGTATCATGCCAGTCTGTGTGTGTATGTGTACAGATATGGAATTAAACACATAAAAATATAAACAGTGGCACCTCTAGTGGTGAGATTCTGGTTGAATCTTTTTTCTTTTTTTGTTTTCTAATTTTTCTAAAGTGAAATTAAGCTATGTTTATAGCTTTTTTAAAATATAGCTATATTTATAACCACAGACCTACCCAGGAAATTGATTTCTGTTGTTTCAGATCTCCTTGCGTTCTCTCTTACATTTCTGAAATCAAAGAGGACTGCCCCATAAGGAGACAGAACTCCTGTCCAGGATCAGACATCTCCTTCATTTGAAGCATGGTTGCATCCCAGGAATCATTTTTCACCACTTTTATCATTCCAGTCCCTTGGTTTTTACAAGGTATAATTCTCTCATCCCTAAGGGATCTTAAGAAATGCTGAGCCCTTTGTTCCTCTCCATTCTGCCACTGAAGCTGCCGCCACCTCTTGTCTACCACAGGGACATTTTTCCGTAACCCACACCTGCCAATATGCTATGCTAGCAGCAGATGCTCTCACAGGAAGTGCTCTTATTTGAGGTGCTTCTGATTCTGCTTTTGTTAGTGGGAGTGGAAGGGGTTACATGATAGATGGTATACTAATTGTGGAAATGGGAATGGGTGTTTGAAGGCACTGCTCCTGTGTAGGGTCCAATAGCAGGTATGAGTGATAGAATGGGTGAGGAGGTGCAGTGGAAGAGAATATTGCTATGATCCTTCACTTTCTCCACACAGATTTTTTTCTTCTCTTGCTCTGAAGCTCCCACAGGATTTAAAAGGCCTCTTCCCCAGCCGCATAGCACAGGGATATCAGGTCGGTGCTTTGTGACCGCCTGGAGGGGTGGGATAGGGAGGGTGGGAGGGAGGGAGACGAAGAGGGAAGAGATATGGGAACATATGTATATGTATAACTGATTCACTTTGTTATAAAGCAGAAACTAACACACCATTGTAAAGCAATTACACCCCAATAAAGATGTTAAAAAAAAAAGTAAACCAAGTTTTCATCCTATTTAATTCAAATACTGCAATTAAAAAATTAAAAAAAATAAAAGGCCTCTTCCCACCTCCCCTGCACTCGCCTGCTCAGAGAAATACCCATATCCCTCCTCCAGCATCACCGCCTTCATAAGTGCCTGTAAGGGACGAGTACCAGGCCCACCCCTACCACCAATAATGGCATTAGGGGCTTCCCTGGTGGCGCAGTGCTTGAGAGTCCGCCTGCCGATGCAGGAGACGCGGGTTCGTGCCCCGTTTCGGGAGGATCCCACATGCCGCGGAGCGGCTGGGCCCGTGAGCCATGGCCGCTGAGCCTGCGCGTCCGGAGCCTGTGCTCCGCAAATGGGAGAGGCCACAACAGTGAGAGGCCCGCATAACGCAAGGAAAAAAAAAAAAAAAAAAAATAATGGCATTAGCTGCTGCCAGGCCTGATTCTTTCCTCCTTTGCTCCACCACCATTTATACTCTTCCTCTATTGCACCAGCACTGAATTTAGATACAGCAGGAAAAATACCAGCACACGCCCATCTTTCCAAGTGTACAGGGGACATTAGGATCTACAAAATGTCATAGTATCTCCTCTCCTCCCCCTCAAATAGTTCCACGTTTATTCCCCCGACAGCCCTCTTCTTCTCCTTTACTCCTATCCCAAGTAACCAAGGCTGTTAACGGTTAGTCATCTCTGAGAGAAGAGAGTTCTGGTACGACAGGGTCATTTTTATCATCCACCCCCTCATCTCACCATACCCATTCCAAAGGTGTTCAGATCTTGGCCCCCCCTTATCCCAGGGGAGGTTTATGCTGCCAGCCTGTATTTGGTTTTCTATAATCCTGACCACTTGAACCGAATTAGGCTAAGAGAGACAGGAGTGACTTAGAGAACAGAAAGGAGAATGCTGCTTATGATACCTAAGCACTCCTTACTCCATGCCAGGACCCCAGGGAGAAGGCACAGCCCCAGAGGGAAATGGCTGCACGGGGTATTTAGAGAGACTGGACCCTGGGCATTAGGGCTTCCGGCACTGGAAGACACCTCCAACCCCCACTGGCTCTGGAGAAGCAGACATGCCCACCCTCAAGGAACCACATGGACTTGGGACAGTGAGAGTACCAGGGACAATAACAATGGATTGAAAGCCCCATAGGAGGCCCTCCCCCTCCCATTCTTGGGTAATTCACAGGAAGAGGAGAGGCCCTTAAATAGTGAATGAAATTGAACTTTCCATCACCTCAGTGGGATGGAGGGAAGATGCAGATTTAAACTGCCGCTTCTGAGCAAACCTGCCCCGAGGTACACACTACACAGAAGACACAGCAAGTAAGTGCACACTCTTTATTACTAGTTAGAATCAGGAAACCTCTGACAAAGGTTGAGCTTGGTGAGCTGGAATCTCCTGGGGGAACTCGAGGACACGTTTTGCTCAGACTGGAGGCTGATCTGACTTCCCAGCCCCGGGGCTCCACTTGCCTCTGAGAAGCTGGCAGAGAACACACCAAGTGGAAGAGAAGGGCCCACGAGCATTCTCAAGAGTGCTCGTCCCAGTCCAGTTCCAGTTTTAATCCAATTAGTCCTCCCAAGAGAAGCGCCATCCATAGCATGATGTCTGTCCTTGGAATCCATTTTGTTCTTCATCCACTGACCAGAAAGGGGCTTGGGATGGTGGCTGCCTGAAGCTGAGGGCTCAAACACTGCCCCAAGCACTGTCCTTCTTTAAGACAGTCGCCCAGTGGTGTTTCAGGCAACCAGGAAACTAGCTGTCCGTCTCAAGGGAGGAAATCAGGAGAGTATCAGCAAAGTCCTGCCTGCAATTTTGTTAGGCCACTTTCCCACTCTTTGCCCACTACTCACTTGTCTCACGTGGGACCAGTGAGATGAGCAGTTCGGCAATCGAGTCCTTCCATTAAAGTCTCTTTGACGTTGCGCCCAGAACTGCAGAAATATCTGGATGTTATATCAATTAGGTTTACCTGAAGGTTACAATACATGCAAGACAAATAAGTCACCTCTGATCTGTAATGTATTTCAAATTATGCTCTCTCCTGTCATCTAACCAAACTCACCAAAAAGAGTTATGTGTGCACTAGATAATTCTATATAATTCTAGCTCCTATCATACACTAGGCAATCAATAACTATTTAAATACTTAAATGAAATCCAACAAATTTGCTATCATCTATAGTATTTAACACTGCAATCCCCCCCCCCAACACTTCTGAATTAATTCCACGTCCCAACAGAGAAATTAAATCCTAACAAAATTATTTTGCCCCCCTTTTCCCCCTAATAAGTGCCAAAGCATCTCTTCTTCCCCGACTTCTCACTCTTCTTGGCTTCAGCCAGTGGTGCGGGGATGGGCGTCTCACTGAGGTGTGGGTCAGTCAGAAACGAAGAGTTATTTCTTTAGACTCTTGAGAGATCTTCTAATGGGACAGGTTCAGGTTCTTCAGCAACAAGTAAATTCCGTGGGGCTCAGAGACACAAAAATAGGCCCTCACCTATAAAACTTAAAAACAAGAAGAAAACATGAATACTGCAGTAGGTTACAAAGGAACAATAGCATTTTCAAGGAAAAGCAGTGCCCCTAAAATTCAATACAGCTTATAACTCTAAAAACACATGGCTGTTCCCAGGCAAAGACATGGTATTTTCAGGAAACGAAGGTTAATAAAACAGACATGAGTGAAAAAGAAAAATTCTTCATGACTTCGGCATCTCCAGGGTGTCAACGAATCAGCATCAGCCATCCAGAATCCAGCCCCTGCAAACATACAAGAAATTAGGAGAAATCCCTTATTTTAAAAGTGTGATACTCAAAGTAGTCTATCTTTGTTAAAATAAATGTACAAAATAAGAATATAAATGTGTGTGTGTATCTATATTTGTGTGTGTACTCAGATGATAAGAATTGCTTAATTTGGGTAATGGGATAATGAATTATTTCATTTAATTTTCTATATCATGATTTTGGTTTTCAAATTTTCTGTGAAGTAAATGAATTACTTTTTAATCAAAAGAGGGGGGGTTGTTAGGAAATTGGTTTTTCTTTGGAGTGTTTCCATTCTTACTTACCTTCCTGAAATTAGTGGGTTTGTCCTGGGTCCGGGCCTCCACTCTCAACTGCCATGCAGACTTTCTTGCATTTATAGCACGCCTTGCGCCATTGAAAATTCATCGCTTTACACGACGGGCACTCCCAATTATTAGGACTGAAGCATGAGGCAGGCTTCCCCCCATGCTGGGAATCTGAGGCTTTTTTCCCTTTTGGTTGCTTGGCCTTCTTTTCCTGAGGCTGCTGTTTCTTTGGGCTTTCTCTCACATCACGGCTTGTGCTGCCTCCCGGGGTAGATGTCCCCTGGGAATTCTCTGGCCCTTCTTGCTTGTGGCTCTCGCTCTTCCCCAGGGGATCCGTTTCCTGGAGCAGCAGTGGATATTCGTTCTGGCTGTGGCTCCTGCTGTATCCCAGGGAATATTCCCCCTGGTGGTTCTCGGAATATTCCCCCTGGAGGTTCTCGAAATATTCCCCTTGGAGGTTCTCAGAATAGTCCTCCTGGCAGCAGCAATTCTGGTCATACCGTAGGGCTATCTCTTCCTGGGCCCCCACTGCAGCCCACAGGCCAGGTGGGCAGGTTCCCGGAGTAGGGTTCTCGGGTATGACTGCTGCTATTGTTGTTGCTGCCACGGTGGCTGCTCCTTCCGTAACTGCTGAGGATGGTAAAGATGTCGAGTAGGGGAATCCCATTGGGAATGGCACATGGAATGGGAATGGCTGTGGCACTGGCACAGGGGGTTGCATGACCTGGGCCCAGGGGCTCTGGGATCCCGGTACATAAACCACACGTGCTGTGGCTGCCATCTGGCCCTCTGACTGAGGCATGCCCTGTGCCCCCATAGCTACCATCTTGCCCTGCTCCCCTGCATCCATGGCCCATGCTGTGGCCCCAAGCTGCTCAGGTTGAGGCTGAGGCACCATTTCATGGGCCAATGGGGCTACACGGACCAATGACTCGAGCTGCACCAGTTGCCCATGCAACCTATCTCGCTCATCCAATGCCTCCTGCAAGGCGGCCCGCGTGCGTTGCAGCTGCGCTGCTGCCTCCTCGTGCTCCTCACACAGGCGCTTCAGCTCGTAGGAGAGGGCCCGGGAAGCCGCCTCGCATTCCTCTACCTTCTTCTGGAGCTGCCGAACCCAGTGCACCTGCTGCTCCTGCTGCCTCGCGCCCACACGCACGCTCAAGGCCAGCGCGCTCCAGGCACAGGCCCTCTTCAGGTTGCACGGCACCTGCGGGTCAGCGACGACGATGCTCAGCCGATCCTCTACCTCATTCCAGGGCAGCGAGCAGAAGGCCACGTAAAAATCAGGGCCGCCCCCGTTCATGAGGACCTCATTGCTGATGAATCTGATCACCTCGTTGTGACGGAACCCGCTGGCATGGTCCCCAAAATGCACGGCCATGGCCGCTGCGGCCTAGTCAACCAACCGCCTCACGGGAGATGCCGCCCGCCGCCGCCGTCGCCGCCACTGCCGCCGCCGCCGGTAAAGCCCCTCACCTCCCGGCTCAGTCCTCCTTCAGTTCTAGCCCAGTCCTGGCCTCCTCCTCGGCCTCTTTCCTCTGTCACGGTCCGGCTTTCCTCACAGAAAGTAAGGCAGATCCCCTCACTGCGCCAACCCCAAAAGGAATGACGCAGGCACCACGGGCCACGGGCGAGCTCCGTGTCGCCCCGCAAGGCCTGCTGGGACCAACCTCGCTGCCAGAGCCCCTCCTACCGGGTGAGCAGGCCGGAAGCTGCCCTGAGTGCCGCAGTGAACCCAGACGTGGCAGAGGCCGGAAGCTGCACTGCGTGCAGCAGTGAATCCAAACGTGGCGGAGGGGAGGGGGGAGTTGGAGCAGGCAGCGGGGCGCAGGCGCACAGTGGCAGCTGGCATAGCGGATCCCTGGGAGTTGCTAATAGCTGCCAATCCCACACCTAGGGCCTGCAAACACACACACACACACACACACACACACACACACACACACACACACACTCCTGTTCTAAAAGGAAGGGTGAGTCAATGGAGGTCAGAGAACTTCTGGGGGAGGGAGGGAGTTGAGGTGGAGGAGACGGGCTGCAAGACCCCTAGTTTAGGGAGGTAAATAGGGTGCAAGCTTGGCATCTATCAAAACCCAGGAAAGGGGAGGGACATTTGCTGAGAGAGACTTGAGAGAGAAGGCTGTGCTTGTACTACTGTAACAGGGAAGAACAAAATTTGACTCCATGTTGGATCCGTTTCTTTTACTTTGACCTTTGCTTTCCATTGTTTTTGTTCTGTCTCTGGCTATAGGCATACATAATGGCCTGCCTCAGGGAAACCTGCCCCTCTGCCTGAATGTTAAGCTAAAGTGCCTTTTATTTACAATAGCCAGGACATGGAAGCAACCTAAATGTCCATCAACAAAGGAATAGATAAAGAAGGTATAGTACATATATACAATAGAATATTACCCAGCCATTAAAAGGAACGAAACTGGGTCATTTGTAGACACGTGGATGGACCTAGGGAGTGTCATGCAGAGTGAAGTAAGTCAGAAAGAGAAAAACAAATATCATATATTAATGCATATATATGGAATCTAGAAAAATAGTATAGATGATCTTATTTGCAAAGCAGAAATAGAGACACAGAGGTAGAGAATAAATGTATGGATACCAAGGGGGAAAGGGGTAGTGGGAGGAATTGGGAGATGGGGTCTGACACATATACACTATTGATACTATGTATAAAATAGACAACTGATGGGAACATACTTTATAGCCCAGGAAACTCTACTTAATGCACTGTAGTATCCCAAATGGGAGGGAAATCCAAAAGGGAGGGGATATATGTATATGTATGGCTGATTCATTTTGCTGTGCAGTAGAAGCTAACACAACATTGTAAAGCAACTATACTCCAATAAAAATTAATTAATAAAAAAAAAAGTGCCTTTGTTCAGCTCACAGGGAAACACCCTGACCCTGCCCACCTGTGAATGGCTGCAGGAAAGAAGAAATTAACACATCCCCTCCCTGAGGCTGATAAAAACTAGGAGATATTTTGCAAGACTTATGGCCTTTTTACTTTAATTCCTCACCTCCTCCCCCTCTCTGTTCTATAAAAGAAACTAGCATCCAGGCCCCGATAAGATGGTACTCTAGGACACTAGTCTGGCATCTTCTCAGATGCCTGGCTTTCCTAATAAAGTCGCTACTCCTTGCCTCAACACCTTGTCTCCCGATTTATTGGCCTGTTGTGCAGCAAGCAGAGGGAACTTGGACTCGGTAACAAATTTGGCTTAGCCATCCAGGAGCCTTGCTGCTCGTGGCTAGGCGGCCCGGGTCAGGGAATTTTGGGGCAAGGCCCTAGCAGCTGCTGGGACCATTTGTCCTGAGGATATTCCCTTCAAAATTCCCTGAAGCAGCACCAGCTACCCCAGCACTTGGCAGTTGGAGCAAGGAATTGAGGAACTTCTGTGAGTTGACGGACTCAAACTTTGCTGGGTAAATTGCTCTGGTGTGTATAACCAGGAATAAATTCCCCCCTCAATTTGTTTTGCATTTGGCTGGGGTACCCTACTGGAGAGGGGAATTGTTGGACTCTACCTGATATGGGAACCAGTTCATTTGCTTTTGTTTTGTGTGCATCAATGTTGGAATTTGTTTGTGTTCTTTGTGTTGGAATTTGCTTGTATCTTTTGTGTTGGAATTTGTTTGCATCTTTTGTGTTTTGGTGTTATCAAACTTATAAAAATGGGAAATACTCCATCTATCCCAAAGGAGAGCCCTTTGGGGCATATATTAGATAAATGGGCAAAACATAGCCATGAGCCTATGACTAAGAAAGAGGTGATATATTATTGTAATAGGGTGTGGACCCAATATATGTTAGGATCAGAGGAGCGATGGCCCCTGAATGGCTCACTCAATTATTATACAATCTCACAATTAGAAGTGTTTTGCAAAAGAGCAGGGAAAAGAGATGAGATTTCATATGTAGAATCATTTATGCTATTGCATCAGGAGGAAAAGGAGTCAGAGGGCTGCCGCCTTATGGTGCAGCAGTCTGAAAGAAAACCCAAGGAGTGACCTAGACAAAAAAGCTTAAACAAAATTTAGGAGATAAAACAAAAACCAAATGATGATCCATCAGAGTCTCTAGAATAAGAAGGTGAATAACAGAAGGAAGACAGGAGGCTCTCATATGGTAGAAAGAGAGGAAAACTCTGATGATGAATGAAGAGGCCCGAGGACTCCCTTGGACTTGAGGCGTCTGATTCTAATTTCCCCCACAGGAGCCCCTGGGTAACTCTTGACAGTGGGGAACAAGTTGACTGACCTTTTTTTTTTTTTTTTTACTTTTGCTATGTGGGATGCATTTTGATATACTTTTTTTTTAACATCTTTATTGGAGTATAATTGCTTTACAATGGTGTGTTAGTTTCTGCTTTATAACAAAGTGAATCAGCTATACATATACATATATCCCCATATCTCTTCCCTCTTGCGTCTCCCTCCCTCCCACCCTCCCTATCCCACCCTTCTAGGTGGTCACAAAGCACCGAGCTGATCTCCCTGTGCTATGAGGCTGCTTCCCTCTAGCTATCTATTTTACGTTTGGTAGTGTATATATATGTCCATGCCACACTCTCTCTTTGTCCCAGCTTACCCTTCCCCCTCCCCGTATCCTCAAGTCCATTCTCTATCAGGTCTGCGCCTTTATTCCCATCCTGCCCCTAGGTTCTTCATGACCATTTTCTTTTTTTAGATTCCATATATATGTGTTAGCATATGGTATACACAATGGAATATTACTCAGCCATAAAAGGAAACGAAATTGAGTTATTTGTAGTGAGGTGGATGGACCTAGAGTCTGTCATACAGAGTGAAGTAAGTCAGAAAGAGAAAAATAAATACCGTATGTTTGACTTTCTAAATGATACGGGTGCCACATATTCTGTGGTAAATACCAAGGTGGCACAGAAAACATCTCAGTTTATCCCGGTCACGGGAGTTTCTGGAGAGGTAGAAAACCGTTTGTTTTTACGACTTCTAGAATGCCAACTAGGGGACCTCACCCTGAAACATCCAGAGTGTCCAATCCCCCTTTTGGGACGAGATCTCCTTTGTAAAAGGGATTCTGGGACACCTAATCTAAAACAATATCCTCTGAGACAAGAGGCCCAAAAGAGTATTCAGCCAATTATGGGAAAGTTTTTGAAAACAGGACTGACTAAACCTTGCAGGTCCCCATATAACACCCCTATCCTCCCAGTCAAACAGCCAAACTCAGCAGAGTATCGCTTCATCCAAGATTTCAGGGCTATTAATGAAGTAGTCCAAGACTTACACCCTGTGGTACCTAATCCATACACCCTGCTCACAACTATTCCAGGAGAATACAGCTGGTTTTCAGTCCTGGACTTGAAAGATGCTTTTTTCTGCATTCCTATTGCAGAAGAATCACAGCAGCTGTTTACTTTTAAATGGCAGGACCCAGAAACACAGGTAGTCTAACAGTATTGTTGGACAGTCCTGCCTCAAGGATTTAAGAAACCTTCCAAACTGTATGTACAGGAGAGACAAGGTATTAGCTTTGGGGTGTTAATTCAAACCCTGGGGAATATCCCTCGACCCACTGCCTACTTCTCAAAACCACTAGAAGGGATAGCCCCCTTGCCTTGGAGCTGTAGCAGCTACTTGTGACGTACTTCAGGAAGCTGAGAAGTTTACCCCTGGGTCAGCCACCATTGTGTATGTTCCTCACTGTGTCCTTTCTTTGCTGGAACAGAAAGGGGGCCTGTTTATATTATATGTCTGTGTACACATTATACATAAGAGATCTCTATCTCTGAAAAATATTATCAAAATTGAATTTATAAAGAGCTCTATTCAATTTAAAAGTAAGCGCTTACAAATTAAAGAAACCGGTCAAGATGACCTTCAGGTTCATGTGACCTGGGAAGTATTCAATATTAAGTTGACACCTGGTATATAAGGCTGTTTGTTGATCTAATTAATATAGACTTGTCTTTAGAGTCATCAACATTAAATATAATACTTTCCCTGCACCTAGGTTTAATAGAAGTTAAATGAAATCTTGTTATATCTGTTGCAAATTTGTCAGCAAGAAAAATAACTTGGTATGATAAAATTTTTATGAGTGAATTAAATGCAAACGAGATAAAGAGCTTTTAGGTAAACACTATAGAAATAATTACGTTCTGAAAATTATCTAAAACAGTCTTTCCAGAGTTTGGTAACTATTACTTGCCTCTTGGCTTTCACTAGAAATTATGGTTTTTAAGAGTTGGGGATTCTAATTTAAATATGTAATTAAAGCAACTAAAAATAACAAAACATTTCACTATACAGTAGGAAAGTGGGATACATGTTTTGAGTAAAAAGGAGTTTTATGCATGGTCTGAAATTAGATTA